AGGGATTGCAGCATTTCTAAGGCAGAAATCTGAAAAATCCCCACACAGCACATGAGCCCTTGGGGACACATCCTCCCTCCTCTTCCTCTTCCTTGGGATCTCCATTGGATTTAGTGAGAAATAAAAAGCAGAGATGGGAAAATTGGGGAAATCTCTCTCTAAAAGGAGCTGTTCTGCTGAAACCTGAGGGATAAATAAGCTCACACCACACAAACTCCAAGATTTTGGGCATATTTGGGAATAATTTTCCTGTTTCTGGCTCTTTTTTAAACCATCACTGCAGCAAAGCGGGTGAGGGTGAGATCTGAGGGGAGACAACACTCAGAGAGCTGAAACAGCACAAAAACTGAGGGGAAAAATGGGATTTTTGGAGGTTTAGAGCAGGGATTGCAGCATTTCTAAGGCAGAAATCTGAAAAATCCCCACACAGTACATGAGCCCTTGGGGACACATCCTCCCTCCTCTTCGGGGTCTCCATTGGATTTAGTGAGAAATAAAAATTGGGAAAATTGGGGAAATCTTCCTCTAAAAGGAGCTGTTCTGCTGAAACCTGAGGGATAAATAAGCTCACACCACACAAACCCCAAGATTTTGGGCATATTTGGGAATAATTTTCCTATTTCTGGCTGTTTTTTAAACCATCACTGCAGCAAAGTGTGTGAGGGTGAGATCTGAAGGGAGACAACACTCAGAGAGCTGAAACAACACAAAAACTGAGGGGGGAAAAATGGGATTTTTGGAGGTTTAGAGCAGGGATTGCAGCATTTCTAAGGCAGAAATCAGAAAAATCCCCACACAGCACATGAGCCCTTGGGGACACATCCTCCCTCCTCTTCCCCTTCCTTGGGATCTCCATTGAATTTAGTGAGAAATAAAAAGCAGAGATGGGAAAATTGGGGAAATCTTAAAATAAGCTGTTCTGCTGAAAGCTGAGGGACAAATAAGCTCATACCACACAAATCCCAAGATTTTGGGCATATTTGGGAATAATTTTCCTATTTCTGGCTGTTTTTTAAACCATCACTGCAGCAAAGCGTGTGATGGTGAGATCTGAGGGGACACAACACTCAGAGAGCTGAAACAACACAAAAACAGAGGGGGAAAAATGGGATTTTTGGAGGTTTAGAGCAGGGATTGCAGCATTTCTCAGGCAGAAATCGAACACTTCTCCCTTCTGGGCGAGGAGGTGCCAAGAAATGAGTTTGATTTACCGTGTAGAGCTCATTCAAAACCTTCATCAGGTCCTCCTGGAGCTGCAGGCCCACTTCCTTGCTCTGCAACAGAACAGAGAAATGAAAGTTAATGGAGGAAGAGGCTGCAGAGGAAGCGAGCAAGGGGCAGCCACAAATAATTTGAGGCCAAATTAAGCAGTTTTGGTAAATCCAATCAGTGCCCAGCCCAGAGGCACGTTGTAGTAGGGGTGTTAATAAAGTGAAATTTCAGATTGGGTACTGTCAGGAGGGGAAAAAAGGAAAAAAGAGGGGAAAAAGTAAGAAAAAAGGGGGGGAAAAGGGGGGAAAAATGAAAGAAAAAAGAAAAAATAAAAGGGAAAAAGGAAGAAAAAGGAAAAGGGGGCAAAAAGGAAAAAAAAAAGGAAAGAAAAAGAAAAAAAGAAAAAAGGGGAAAAAAGGAAAAAGGGGGAAAAGGGGAAAAAAGGAAAGAAGAAAAGGGAAAAAAGGAAAAAAAAGGGGGGGG